TGGTTCTCGGGGTTTTTCTGCGATCCGTTGTTATGCGTTTTGTGCTGTGTAACAGCAGTACAAGACGCATATTGTCGCCGGGTTTCCTGTGTGTGTTTGTGTGTGTGTCCACAGCAACTTGTCCGCAACTTTCGACTCGGGAATCACAAAAGCTAGGAAGCTGAAAATTTAGGAGAACGTTCCCCACCCACATGTGACCCCGCAAATTTAAATCTAGCTTCCCCGTAACCGCGGGTAACACGTATGCCCAGTGAAAGTTTTTTACGGGTAAATTAATATCTTAGGAATCACGGAATCTAGGAGGCTGAAATTTTAGGGTAATAACTCCCTGCCCACCCTCAACCTTGCCCATTCAAATTCAGCGTTCCCGCGCTCTTGAGTACCACCTACGGCCTCGTGAAAATTTTGGTGGGTAAAGCATTAACTCGGGAATTACGAAAAGATATTCACCCTTCAAGATTTCGAATTCAGCTTTCATGCGGTGATGCGTGAAATTTTTAACTGTTTTCCAATATTTGAACTATTTTTGCGCAGACTAAAGTACAAAGCAGTAAAAATCATTAATAGGCAATCGTTCGATGGGCTTAATTACACAAAACTCATGATCGCACCGGCTAGTCTGGTGTGCGTTCCTATTTATTTTGGGGTTGTTCTGAGGCTGTTGCACAGCTGCTCTGTCTGTGCGTGTTTGTCTCCGGAGATATTTGCCCTGCTCGATTTTCAACGGGTCCCCATGTTGGCCCTAGGTTCGCGGTTTGTGCTTTTCGGATTTTTATGCATTCTTCTCTATGTGTGTGTATGTGTTTCAGTAAAGAGCGGATACCAGCTGGTCAGCAGAGGGATCAGCGATGGATGACGATTTCATGGATGATCAGGACTATGACTTGGTCAGCCTTTTGCAGTTTTCCCACACAGCAAAATGCTGCGTAGTACACTGATGATACAATGACCATCAATAAAAACAATACATGGCTTATTCAGCTTCAGTCTTCCAATTCTCTAACCAGAGATATTCATTGTTTTATCGCGTCCCTAACTGTTATTTAATTTTATCAGTGAGTGTCCCGCTTGTAGGTGTGTGTGTGTGTGTGTGTGTATATGTGTATGTAACACGCCGCGTCCTATATACACGTTTATCTATACACATTAAAGTGAAGAGGTAAGATACATAAAGTAGGTGAAGCTCTGGGGAGCCAAAGCTCCCCAGAATAGGAGCAGTATTATGTAGAATAAGTGGGCTAGAATAAGAAATCAAAAATGGCGATCCCGGCGATAGGGTGGAGTGCTTTTATACCCCAGGGGACAAAGATCGAAAGTTCAGTGAGGGTAGGACGGTTAAAGTTTGAACCAGGGACAGGGGTACTGCGTCATAGTAACGCAGTTGATCTTTAATCTATTTTTAACAAAAACCATTAATCAGTATTTGATTACGCTATTACGCGATGGTTTGCATCTTTAAAATTTCTGAAACACTTATATGAAGTGATAATATGGGGAGGAGCAGCTGGATTGGGGTGGAATCATCGGTACAGCCCCACGTCAGCAGGCCTAGGCCCGATCTGTCCGGAGCGCTAATCATTTGCGTCGTCTGAATGTCGTTGTTTAGCATATCGCTGTATGATGGAAATATTTGTGAGAAATATTGAATAATAATTGGCCAACGCACGGGCTTCCCGTGCGAGGATGCATTTTTTGCATAGTTCACCGCAGTTTTTGTCTCTACCGT